TTATGACCATATTAGTGGAATCTGGGTAGTAAAAAATGTTTTGCAACAAATTACAGATTCTAAATCGAATCCCGGTGCACTTTTAGAAATGACCTTGAACCAAATATTTTAGATCCAATACAAAAATTGTGCTTGATTGATGAACACCTTATCAAGATGACTTCTGCTTGTTTTATTGCAGTGGAAGATGTCTTAAGTTGTCAATATAAGAGATATTTCTCCCTTTCTATTAACCAGACTCTCAAGGAGGAAACAGCAAGTGCAAAGCTTCACAATATAGATAGTAAAGAGTTAATGGGAATGTTTAGCGAGGCTAAAGAAAGATCACCTAATGCAACAATTTGTTATATTTCATGCAAATTAAGATAAAAAAAAAAAATCAAACTTTAAATTACCTAGATAGTTTAGATCAATTATCTAGAAAAAATTTGGTTGTGTGATCTATTCACACAGCCCATAAAAAGAGGATGATAAATCGAATAAAGCATTAAGATATGCAAGAAGAGATTTAAAAAAAAACATGCATGCAAATGCCAAAAAACATGCATGCAAACGCCCCTTGCACAAGTCAATATGCATACCACCAATAAATGAAATTCTTGTAAAACAATTTAGTATTTTTTATACTGTATACTAGTTTCACTTATTTTATTAAATATAGAAATATTTATTTATAATTAGAGAATTTTATATTTTTAAAATTAGGGTAAGTTAAACTATCACCACCATGTCCACCACCAACTTTAATATACACTAATCATTGTTGTTGTTCTCGAATAAAATTATAGCAACTTTTTGTATGAAAAAATTACCATTTCCTGAATAAAAAACACTATATATTAAAAGAAATATGCTTAAATTTAGAATGAAGGTGGTGGTTTGGCACCTCTCTAGCCCCCAGGAAACACCCAATAGGTGGATGATGTTATAAATTTGTAGCCCACTGTTACTCCTATCTTTTAATACCAAGTTATTGGCATTTAGATAAGAATTGACAAAGTTATAACAATTCAAGTGAAGAAAAAATAAATTTTGACCACAGTTTTTTTGACAAATCCATACATCAAAAATTTGCTACTAAAAACCTCATACCTTCTTGTAGAGTTGTTCGATTTTAATAATTTTTTCACCTTTAAAAACTGTATTGAAGCCCTTTCCAATGATATATAACAATCTAGCCTTTGATCAATTTAAAATTTTCAATCCACATACCTAATATATATTAAACGCATCATAAACAAAGGTAAGTCTAATATTTAATCTCTAATTCATCTTATTACCTCTCCCAAGAATAAGGCAGGACTATTTGCACAGATATTTCTCTTCAAAATTTAAATCCTAAATCATATGACCAAACTCTTCATGCCATTTCGGTTAAACAAGTTAACCGATTGTTAGACATTCAAATCACTTTAGCTTCCATTGCTGAAGCCATTTCTCAATTAAACTCTTCTAGGACTCGTGGTCTAGACATTCTAGTCATAGCTTTACAAAAGTATTTTCCAGAACTCTTAATTCTCTCTAAACTATTTAATCAGTGGTTGACTTATTCATGTTTTCTCTGATTTAACTAAAAGATTATGCATTACATAAAGACAACTAGGCAAGAGCTATTTCTTTTGACATATCAAAAGCTTTTGATAAAGTTTAGGATGCTGATCTTTTCTATAAGCTTGATTTACATGGTGTATCTGGGAAAATTTTTGAGATTATCAAATCTTTTCTTTCTAACTGCAGTTAGAAAGAAAAGATTTGATAATCTCAAAATTAAACTCACCCTCAAAAGATGAAAAGGAGAAAACAAAATTACTGCAAACAAGTATTGCAATAATGTCGACATTCCTTTATTAATAAATGACAAACCTCTTACGAGTCCGCTTCTTTATGTCTGATTGGATTATTATTCACTACTGACCTGCCTAGGAAAACTATATATGCAATTCATTGAAAAGTTAGCATCTGTTAAGGTTTCTTCTCAATACTTTCGTTATCTCTGGCCAATCTTTAACTCCTGATTTCATTCTCTACCTCTACAAATCTCTTATTTGTCCCTGTATCATATTAAGGCTGGTTCTTCTAATAATGTTCTTTTTTTTCTAGAACAAAAACACTTTATAAATGTAGATGGATCTGCTAGATGTTTCAAGCTTTACAATTTTTTTTAACTTTTAAAATTTTCAAACATGTTAAAGAGAATTCTCTTTATCAAATTTAATTTTTTTTATGTTCATTTAACATTCAACTACTTTATTAATTCATATTTTCTTTTTTTTATTAAATTTTTTTATTTTATTTATTAATTTATTTTTTAATAACTCACTTTTCATTTTAAAACGATTCTGTTGTTTAGAATGTTTGCAATCAAGGACTTTCCAAAATGGAAACAAAGTAATGATGTAAATATTTATTAAATGAAAAGTTGAAGAGGTAATAGGCTTTAGAGCTGAGATTACCAACGGAACTACATACATTGTATTGAAATTTACTGCAAAGTTTGTACAAGAAATAGAGAAGCGGTTTTACAAGGTTATAAAGTTTTGATTCAACAATGTGCTTTACGGTTTATCGATGGGACAAACTTTGTGTCGATCCACACAATTCAAAGACATTTTGAAACAGCTTACAATAATAATTAATTATTATTGTAAGCTGTTTCAAACATTACTGCAATAAGGTGTGAGAGCAAGAAACCCTCAAATGAGCAATGTGTTACATCAACCGATGGAATACAAAATCCTCAAAGGTAATTAATAAATTATTATCTTTGAAATAAAGATTTTTTATTCTTATTTACCAGATTCTAATATCTTAATTTTGAACTGAGCTAAAGCGTCGTTTGTAACAGGCTTGATCAGGAAGACGTGTGATCATACACCATTAATATATTTTGTTTCGATGATTTGGCCATCAAGCATTTACACATTTGCAAATGCTTGATGATGTTTATGTTAATGTTAAATGTTGATATTTAATTATTTCTAAAATGTGTTGAAAAAATTAAACTAAACTAAGAGAAAGTTAAAAAAAAAAAATAACCTAAAAAAAATTTGTCCACAAAAGAAAAAAATTAAACCTAAAAAAACTTGATTAAACTAAAAGAAACTTTATATATATATATATATATATATATATATATATATATATATATATATATATATATATATATATATATATATATATATATATATATATTAAATTAAGATTGGTACTGCATAAAATAAAAGTTTGAGAAAACTGTATTTTTGTAATTTTAATTTTCTTTTGTTTCTTAGATACAAGCGTCAATTACGTCTTTGTTAGAAGTTTTAATGGATGACGCGTATATAAGACTTGTGAACTGTGCCTATGAAATGGCCCTTCTGCCAACTATGTGGCACAAAAACTTTGCTGTTATTGTAAGTATCGACATGTTGACAATTTTAAATATTTTAGATAAAGTATTGAATTGTTGGTTCAAATAAAAATAGTTGGTTCGTATGTTTCTAACTTTATAAACTTTAGTAATTTATTGTAAATTTAACTTTAAATCGAAAAATATAATATATCATTTACGATGTTTAGGTAAAGAGCTGTAAGATCAATGGTGTTAAAATGATCAAACGCAAAGTAAATGGCGCTGGCGGCATGAATTCGAAAAAAGCATTGCAATGGCTGTTCATGAAAAATGGGAAAATCTGTTAAAAATATCAAGAAATATAAAAACCATTAACTGTTAATTAAGTTTACAGCGTAACATTTTTAAATAAATATATCAAAACAATGTAAGTAAAAAAATTAAATTATACTTCAATACTAAATCAATAAGAAATTGCATTTTTGTTTGGCATTATTTTTTTTTACCATAAAAAGTTAAAAAAAAAATCGCAATCTGATTCAAACAATATGCAAGAAGTTTTGGAAGTATAAAAATGGTAGTATAAAAATCTACTTCGTTGAAGTAGTTTTATAAGCGTGATACTAATTCAAACATTTGTTGACGAAAGAATGATGTAACAAATAAAAAAAGATACAAAAAATAAAAAACTTTTTATGAGCATCATTTTCAGCAATTTTCATGATCGCGCTCGCCGACGTTATCTCGAGCGCATATAATCACACTCGATTAAAATATTCTAATTTTACAAGCGCAATATAACACGCTTGACGATTTTCTTCATCACAAGCCCTACATATATATATATATACATATATATATATATATACATATATATATATATATATACATATATATATATATATACATATATATATATATATACACATATATATATATACATATATATATATATATCATATATATATATATATATATATATATATATATATATATATATATATATATATATATATATATATATATATATATATATATATATATATATATATATATATATATATTATATATATATATATATATATATATATATATATATATATATATACATATACATATACATATACATATATATATATATATACATATATAATATATATATATATATATATATATATATATATATATATATATTTATATATTTATATATATATGTGTATATATATATATAAATATATATATATTTATATATATATATATATATATATATATATATATATATATATATATATATATATATATATATATATATACATATAAGCGCAATATAACACTCTTGACGATTTTCTTCTATATATATATATATATATATATATATATATATATATATATATATATATATATATATATATATATATATATATATATATATATATATATATATATATATATATATATATATATATATATATATATATATATATATATATATATATATATATATATATATATATATATATATATATATATATATATATATATATATATATATATATATATATGTATACATAGGCCTTTTTATAAATAAATAAGGAAATAAATAAGTAAGTAAATAAGTAAATATGCAAATAATTAAGTAAATAAGGAAATAAATAAGTCAGCTCACCCCAAAATGAAACAAATACAGCAAAAAACACAGTCGCTGCATTATCAAACAAATAAGATAGCTAAAATAAAAACATAAAAACTGATGGTTACAAAACCATAACTTTTGCATGTAAAACACTTAAACATAAAACACTCAAACAAAAAATCTTGTTTTGCGCAATTTAAAGAAGTTTTAAAATGTTGAAATTTAAATTTGAACAAATTAAAAAATTTGTGCGAAAGATTTTTATTCTCATTTTTTAAACATGTTTCTATTTAAACATTTCAATTAAAAATTTTTTTAGAAGTTTTAAATATTTTAACATAATCCATTTATTTTAAATAACATTTTATGTCATGTTTCATTTTTGTCTTTTCCTATTCCAAGTCTATTCATGATATTTGCATTTAAGAAAATCACAATGGTATACTTTTTGAATGAAAACCATCCATCCTGTTATCCTCAATATAAACAGAGAGTTACACTAAAAATGGTTGCAGAAAATGTTTGGTTTGTTCTCAAATGAGTATTAACCCTATGCTCAGTGAATATAACTTTGCAATAAAAAAAACATAATCTAACACAATTATTATTAGTAACATTATAAAAAAAACATTCATTATTTTTTTTTACATTACAGTGTACATTTAATCATAAGAAATACCTTGGCTCGCGTGCAACTTGTTTTAAGATCCCAATATTTACAACCAATGTGTTCATCACAAAGTGGACACATCTTGTAGGTCCAATTCGCATGTTCACAAATATCTAAACTGTTGAAACACAATGCATGAACAAATGTAAAACTAAATTGTATAAATACAATAGAGTTATTTCATGCAAAATGGACTAAAATTTCTAGACATTCAACATGGTTTAAATTGATAGTATTTGTAAAATTGATATAATTTGTAAGCTAACCCTAAAAAATACAAGCCCTTGTGGTTCTCAAGAAACAGTGCTGTAAAAATAAGACTTACTTCTTAAAAAAGTTTTCTAATCTTTTTTTTTTTATCAAGACATTTTGTCATGCTTTATGTAATGAGCATATTCATTACATGAAAAATTAAATTATGAAAAAGATAACTAATACTTTATGTTTATCGGCAATAAGTGTTTTATCAATATATATATATATATATATATATATATATATATATATATATATATAAATATATATATATATATATATATATATATATATATATATATATATTCATTATAAATCATTATATATAATTCATTATATATAATAATCATTATATATAAATCAAATATATATAATCATGATAATAGGGTCAAATCATTATATTTCAACCAATTTGAAGAAAACTTTGTGGGTCACCATCTCTGATATTCCTGATTTTTACATATTGCTATGTGCATTATGTAGATGGGTTAAATTTGAAATTTCAGACTTCCAAGTAATTATAGCCTTATCAGAATTTATAATCAGAAATTATAGCCTTAAAAACATGACACAGTGAAATTATAGCCTTAAAAACATGACACAGTGAAATCAGAAATTATAGCTTTAAAAACATGACACAGTGACCCCCTCAATTTACAAATGGTCAATACAGACTACTTTAGGGCTGTATAACTTTTTTTTCACTTTCAATAAGTGTCTCATTTTTTTCTAGAACTATTTTTTGGATAGTTTTTTATTTTAAAAAGTGGTTTTTATTAACTTGCGTTAAATTAGAAGAAAAATATGACCTCCTCAACTTCCTATGAAACTAACTGTAATGAAACTAACTGTAGCACTATTCTATTCATCCACAAATCTTTACAGATAAGTTTTCTGATTAGCTACTACTGTTTGCAATAAATAGGCAAATATAGGACGCTTGTCGCAGTTTAAAATTCAAATATATCTAAAAGTAAAATGTCTACTCGCCTAAAAAGTTCAATTTTCAGCCATTTTGAGATGCTTGTAAATTTTTTTAGCACTTTGTTTTGATCTAAGTTAACAGCATATAAGACCATTAGACCCAACTATCTGAAAATGCAAACATTACAAACTTGTTAAATCCACACCAAAAATGCCAGCATTTTTAAATAACCCTATTTTTCAATTATCAACAGTTGAATGTGTTAATAGAAACCAGTGCCCCTCTAATCTGCCGACTGGCCTATGTGAAGAGTGCAACTAATTATAAGACATTTTTTAATAAAAAGAAAAATATGGTTGGTTGTCTTCTCCTTGATCTGGTCTTTATAGTAGATAGGGGCACAAATAAAGGGGCAATAACTTTTTAGAGACCTTTGTTATGGTTCAAATGAAAGTCTTTAAATTAATTTCGATACTCAAATACTTAATATCTAAATTAATTTCAAAACTTTTAGTAATTTACTTAACTTTAGTTATTTCCCTTTTAAGACCATAACATTGCATGTTTGCTGGAAAATCTGGCATTTTTGGTAGTCACTATCAAAATTCGAATCTTATGGTAAAAGAATGAAAAAATGCAATAAAGATCTGATGGTCTTAAACTGTATATTCATTAGAAAATGAATCTAGATGTTTGTTTCTAGAAAATATGAAATATATATCTAGAAAATGTTTGTATCTTTTCAATGATTTGAAAATCTTGAAACTTTTATATAAAGAAACTAATATTAGAGAGTAGATTACTGGTGGTATAATTAGAGAGGTCAGACTGTTTTCTATAATTTTCAGACTTAGGGATACTTAGAGAGGTCAGACTGTTTTCTATAATTATTTAAAATTGGAAACACTTATTTAGCACTTAAAAATAGTTTAGCAAGAATTGGAGAACACTTTTCTAGAGATTTCATTCTGGAGAACACTTGTAAAACTATGATGGAAATGTTGTCTGAACCACACGCTATAGATCTTATTTGAGAATTAACTTTATCATTGGAAGCCAGAGTGATTTGGATGTCTAACAATGGGTTAATCTCTTTAATTGGAATAGCAAAAAGAGTAGTCATTAGATTAAAATTACAATCAAAAAAGAGGAAAAGTTCGTTGCAAATAACTCTCCCATATTCTGGGGAGAAGTAATAAAATCAGACTCATCAGTTACAGATAGAATGTTAGACTTAGAATGTTAGATTTAATGAAACAGTTAAAGGTTTTCCAAAAGTCTCTAGAATCTAACATCTGAGATAAGATACTAAGCATGAGAGCTTAGCATCAGACAGGACCTTTTTAGATTAACTTTTTGCCATAATAAAAAGATGTTCGCTTTCAAGAGAGATGTTCTTGTAAAAAAGATTAAAAAAAGGTTACTGTTAAATATAGCAACTGTAGAAGAAGGTGAAAAACATGGAGTAGAATGAGCTTGATTTAAAATCAATTAAAAAAGTTTCAAGTTTTTACCTGCTTGGATCCAGGAGATTATGTAAGAGGTGCATTTATGCATACATAATATGGATATGTATGGGTATAAACATATACGCTTGCTATTTATTTAGAAGCTGGCATACAATTTTACATGTTCATATAAACTTTAGTATTTATATTGTGTAGTATTTGTCGAAAAAGATGATGATTAGACAAATGTATGGTCATATGACTCTAAACAGACAAAAAAAAGGAGCGATAATTTTAGACAGATTTTAGAAAAAGCATTGTATCGAACAAAATATTTTAAAGAAAACTAAAGTAGTTTGGGTATCAGAAGCTTCAATGTACTCTCTCCAAGTAAGAAAACTTAGAGAGATTACATTGCATATGAATGAGATTTAGTTAATAAAAGAAAATACTTAAGATGTTTATATAGGTGAAACAGCATAAAAAAGGAAGGCTTAAGTTAATGATTATGTTGACCATGTTTATATATAAATATTCATGCATATATATATATATATATATATATATATATATATATATATATATATATATATATATATATATATATAATATAACATGAATTTGAAATTAAAAAAATATACTTTAAGATGTATAAATGTTTATGCAGCCACTTTCATAAAACTTGCCCCCACCAAACTTATTTTTTATCAAATCTGGTTTCGGGTCTCGATCACATACTACATGCAACCAAGTAAAATTGTGACAGAAAAGGCTGTCTCATAATAAGTGAGGCCTCAATCAACTTGGTATAAAATAACCCGAAAAAAATATATATGTATATATATTTTAAGTTTAATAACATCCTAGAAACAAATAATTATTTATAAATTTGTTTTTATTCTGAAGTTCTCACAATAAATTTGCTTAGAGAATGATTTTCAAAAACCAAGCCAACTTAAAATAGGTAGAAAGTCATACGCGTCTCTATTGTCTGGTGAATTAACAGTAACACAGCCATAAACAAAAACTAGTAAACCAACAACAGAGGGCAACAAAAGCCATGCTGTATATTGACCTACAATAAACAAGAATTTAACAAAATATAATATATTTTTTATTGTGAAAATAAAAATCTAAAAAATATCTAAAAAATCTTACCAAGCCATGCAAAGTAGAGACCAATTTTTTCGCCAAAATAACTTCTAAAAAAGAATAAAAATGAAGATAACAACCTTACATTATTTCCTGTGTTATGTTCTTCTAGCTTTACTTTGTCATATTTAATTTTTTATTCATAGGCTTCTTGATTTTCTTTGACACATGCCTATTGATTTATTTATTCAAACATATTTTTTTTTCTTTCTTTTTTTGAGTTTAACATCATTTTATTTTCAACTTTAAGATCTCATGGTAGTTTGGTTTGGGTGAGTAATATGGAAGAGCTGAAGCATTTCTTTTACAACCAAGTGTGTTTCTAACATTCCTAACATCTGCTTTACAGATTTGGAGTAACAATTTTTTTAGTGTACCTCCACTTGGAAGATAAACATTCAAGGTTTACCCTTGCCTACAACTAAATTGAAACATTTTTTAACGTTTTCTTTCTCCTAGTTAAATCGCCTTCACCTTGGCTAAGGAGCCTTACTTGCCCCATTGCAACTTTTTAAGCTGTTTCTTACTTGCCTTATGAGTGAATTTCTTTTTTAAATCATAATTTATTTTAGAGCTTTTATTTTAAATAAAAAAATTTAAAATATTAATTTCTTGAATAATTTCTTTATAATTGTTGCATCTTAAATAAATTATTGTTTTATTGCCTTTTTATATTTTATATAGACTTGTATTAACTTATTTTATTATATTTTATATAAACTTTTTCATATAACAACTAGTCAAAATTGAATTTTTTATTATTTTTTAATTTATAAAAAGTAAAAAGTTTATTGAAACAATTTTGAGATGATTTTATGATTGTTAAAGGTTCCAAGAAAGAAAAGATTTTTCTATGACTTGATTTTTAAGGAAAGATTCCAAGATAACCAAGAATAAGGAGAGGTTTAAGGATCCAAGATTAACAAGTTTTGGTAAAGGGATGTTCAAAACCACAAAAGAACTGTTTTAAAAAAAAAATTAAAAAAAAGAAAATTTCTTTTCTAAGTTAAAGTAAATACCACAAAAAATCTTTTACCTAATGAGATCAAGAGGTTGATACTTTAACCATTTACCCCATCTTCCCCAGTACATTTTAAGTACCTAGTAATAGATTTCATAAACAATTTTAATAACTTAAATATATATATAAATAAAAAAATAACAAATAAAAATTTTTTTTATACAAAACCTGTCTTTGATTTAATTGAGGTTCATCTCCAGGGCCATCTGGACCTTCTTCGCGAGGTCGCTTGTGGCCCCCCTAAATATATTAAACTGATATTATAGTCGCAAAAAGTTTTTTTTAATTGATTTGTAAAAATTTTAACTCTTTATATTTGTTTCGATTTGTCAACTTTATATAACTTTAGTATAATTTTTTATATAATTTCAATTTTTACATGTATAATTTAGTTAATAAAAAACAAAAATTAAAAAAAAAAAGGATAAGTATTTATACAGGCAACTAATTAACTAAATATATTTGTGAATGTTTTTTTGGAAATCTATTATATTTTTTACAAATACCTATTGCGTGTACCATATTATGATCATATTATGGCCATAATAGATATGTTATGATAATGATAATGTTAGTACAAAAATATTGCTTAAAGCATAATCTTGAGTTAAAACACATTCTTAAGTTAAAACACATTCTTAAGTTAAAACACATTCTTAAGTTAAAACACATTCTTAAGTTAAAACACATTCTTAAGTTAAAACACATTCTTAAGTTAAAGCACATTCTTGAGTTAAAACACATTCTTAAGTTAAAACACATTCTTAAGTTAAAACACATTTTTAAGTTAAAACACATTCTTAAGTTAAAACACATTCTTGAGTTAAAACATAATCTAAAATTAAAACATAATCTTGAGTTATCATAAGCTTAACATCTTGAGTTAAAAAGAATGTCTAGCATGAAGTTATTACTAGTTTTAATAAATTCTGCAAAATATAAATAATCAATACTTTATTGTGATCCAAACAATATTTCTCTTCAATACTTCCTCAACTTTTTACTACTATTAAGTGAGATCTCTTCTAATCAGTCTTTTTACAACTATCAAGTGAGATCTCATATAATCAGTCTTTTTACTACTATTAGTGAGATCTCTTTTAACCGGTCTTTTTACTACTATTAGGTGAAATCTCTTCTAATTAGTCTTTTTACTACTATTAAGTGAAACCTGATCTAACCATCTCTACCGCTTTGACAGGAATATAAAATTTACTTTTGCTCCTAATTGCATTATTAACTCTGCAAACATTTATTCATCATGAAATACTGTTGCTGTATTTGAGCTGATTCTTATAATGACGCTCTTTCTCTTTTAGACAGAGTCTAAATGCGCATTGTAAATGTAGTCAGACCTGCTCTAGTTTCTAAAATTGTGCCTCTATCCCATCGTCATAAGATTGCATCTCTTTCGTTTAACTATGACTACTACCATGGTTGCTAATTATCATCTTTTGTTGCATCAACAAAAATCTTGTTTGACTCACCATTCCGTACAGTCGCATTTTTTTACTGTAACTGTTCCTTTATTCCCTAAAAAACTCTTCAATTAATTTTGTACTATACACAACAATGCTTTAGAATCCAGCCTTAATACTTTTTAGAATCCAGCCTTTATACTTTTTAGAATACAGCCCGTATACTTTTCTGATTTTTCATAAAAGTCTTTTGTCAACTTTTGGTTTTAACTTGCTTATTTGCTTTTTGTTAACTTCTATCTTAAATATTGTTGCTTGCTTCCTTGTTGGGAGTAAATTTGTTAAAATTATATCATCAATATTAATTAACTAACTTTTTATTTTCAAAAAAAAAATATATATATATTTTATAAAAACATTGTCACCATTCAAAAGATTGTTTCTATAAAGCTGTTTGTTTCATCATAGAAGAAATGGTAAAAGATCACATCTGATTTATACTTTTTATATAGATATGCTTTGCACAAATCCAAATTTAAAGTAATAACTCAACTCGTTTCTCCACGCAGCAGCCTTGTTTGTCAAGGTTCATGTTTCGGAGTTATAGAGTTGAGAGAGGGTTATAACCACAAATAAGTAGCCTCCTCGTTTGTAGTAGCCTTCTCGGCCTTGAGGAGGTGAATTAAAAAAAAAAACAAAAAAACTTTTTATTTAAAAGTATGTATCCGTATACAACATATCTTTGTTTTAAAAAATCTAAACAGAATTATTAAAGTGTACATACAGGTAGGTTTTTGTAGTTTTTAAGGTACACTTTAAAAACTACAAAAAAAAAAGGTACCCAATAACTGCATACTGTTTTAATGTGGTACCCTATAACTGCATACAGTTTTACTGTGGTACCCTATAACAGCGTACTGTTTTACTGTGGTACCCTATAACTGTGTTCTTTTTTAGTGTGGTACCCTATAACTGCGTACTGTTTTACTGTGGTACCCTATAACTGCGTACTGTTTTACTGTGGTACCCTACAACTGCGTACTGTTTTACTGTGGTACCCTATAACTGCGTACTGTTTTACTGTGGTACCCTACAACTGCGTACTGTTTTACTGTGGTACCCTATAACTGCGTACTGTTTTACTGTGGTACCCTATAACTGCGTACTGTTTTACTGTAGTCCCTATAACTGAAGGAAACTTCTGCATAAACTTTCTACACTTAAAGACTATTTAAAATAATTTTTTGAATTATTTTTTAATCTATTGTTTTTAGTAAAGTTTTGTAATTTAAAGAAGTCACCTTTTTTGGTTGTTACCCCTTAAATGAACCAGGTTTTTTGCTTATAATTTTTGAGTTGTTGATCAGATTCACTAAAAATTTTGTGAACATTTTGTTTACAGGCCATAGTATTGGTACACACATTATTGTAAACTTATTATAAACAAAAAGACATAAACAACCCCTTAAAAACTACAAAATAAATCTTGACAAATTACAATTTCTATGATAAATTCTAATATACTGTAATTAGAGGGACTACTAAAAAAAAACACAGTGTTTGCAATGGTATTTGTGCAGTAAAGGGTTTTAAAGAATGCCCAGTCTGCCATGAAATAAAAAAATCAGTATGCAGCAAAATTTCTTGTGGAGTTAATGGAATCAAGCCAATAATGATTAAACTAGCCACATCAACCGAAACAAATGCTAAATATAAAGGCAATTTAAATGACGTGGAACACGACATTATCAATTAGGGAAGTGTTTTATGTTGTTTTGAAATGTAATTTATTGATTCTGAAAAGAAATTTTGGCTTTGTGTCTAAATGTTTGTATTATTCTTAGTACCCCTTAAAAACTACAAACGTCTCTACTGCTAGTAAAAAGTTCATTTTATCAACCAAAGAAGGATATTGTGAAAAGTTTTTTTATTTTTATTTGTAGCAAAAATATAGTTATCTAAAAAAAAGGAATTGCAAACTTATTTTCAAATTTGTGCTTACCTATGCCAAAAAGTGTTTTTTTAGTTTAAAATTAATTTATTGTTTATTTTTAAATTGTTTTTATTGCATATTTTTAATAAGAAAATAGTCAAACTGTCTACAGACTTGATCATTTATTTCATGCCCATTTAATTTGTAAGAGTTTCAGTTTATGAGGTTTGACAAGAAATTTAAAAATTCTTAGTTTTTTCAAATAATTTTTTGTTTTATTTCTGAAATAAAATTTGTTTCTTATAATCTTATTTTATATTTATTTCTTATATTCAATTATTTTAGGACCAAGGACCTGGCCCCTCTGTTGTTACCATCACTGACACTTAATGTTTGCTTGTTTTTTGATTTTTAACTTATTTTATCTATATTAAATTTTTAGAGTAACAAATTGCAATAAATATAGGTGAAAATTTTTTTAACTTTGAATGATAAGAGACAAAAAAAAATGTTTCCAAATATCACATAAATTGAGAAATACAAAATCTATTTCATTTTTTGTATTTTTAGATGTTTTCTTTATATATTGTTCAGTGGCATGCTGGCCCCAGAGACTATGCGGGAATGCATTGGGCCTACCGCTATTTATCCTAGAAGGGACTTTTTTTTACACCCATTATTTTTATACCCATTACTACATTCTGAAAATGATTCACAAATGATATTTATTTATTTTATTTTTTATTTCACAAGTTCAATTTTTTAACATATCTATGATTCGAACTGAGGCATATATATTAGTATTTTGCATAATATAAAGCAACCATTTGTAACTTATGCTTCAAAACAAAGTCGATATTGAAAAAAATAATTGATCATTACGTCACTCAAATTGCTTATTTTATCAGTTATATAGATATATAGATAAAATTATTTAAGTTAATATAGATAAAATTATTTAAGTTAGCCAATGATTATTATGAGAAATAATTGTGTTAAATTATAGAAAAGATATTCATATTGATAAAATTTTTGTTAAATTTTAAAACCCCACAACTAATTAAAATAACTTTACTGCGGCTGTAGCGCAGTGGTTAGAGCGCTTGCTTTTTAAGCAAAAGATCCAAGTTCGAAACGAGCTATGTAAATATATTTGCATCACGGTAAGAAAGGAGGCATGAATTTCCTGGTTAAATGCACTTCCCCTGTGCTCTGTTACAAAACCGTTAGGTCTTCTTAGGGCACCTAAATAACAAACAAACAAAAAATAAAAAAATTGAAAAAAAAAAACTTGTTAAACTGCTTTTATAAAAATACAAATCCACAAATTTTCAAAGAAAAAACATAAGTCGATATCATGTAATATATTTAATTAGATTGAAGTGTGGGAGTACCGCAAATATATGTTGAAACTAATATTTAAAATTATAAACTTTAGTAACCGCTTTTATTTTCAAAGAACATAGTTGTAAAATCCGTGTTTGATGTAATTATAGCTTCTTCTTTTTTTTTAAGATTTGACATAAAATGGAAAATCTTAAAAATTGTATACATTCAATTTGAACTTCAAGTTGATAAGACGGTAAGGACGTCTTGGAGCACATACAAAAAAAATTGTTGTACCATTGTTTTTGTAACGCTAATCAACACTTCTTCTTGTACTAACGCTTGTACTTTATAAATAATTTTTCATCACTTCTCTATGGCTCAGGATGTACCATATAACACACATTTTTTACGTGAGCAAATATTTACAAATATTTATAATCTATCAATCTTTAAATTAATAGTTATTAAAATAGTTATATATATATCTATATATATAGAGATATTTTAATAATACGAATAAATAATGGTACAGTTATTTAGCTAAATTACTAAAATATAGCGGCATTATTTTGTTTACTTAGGAAACTCACTAGATAAAATGTAGATTCAAACAAAATCAAAAACGATGTAAAAAAATTAACTAATTTTGAAAAAATAAGTTTCTTTCAAAAACTTTGTTTATACAACATAAAATACAATAATTCTTGTATATGTAATAAAGCTAAAACAAAAATATATATTATACATATATATATATATATATATATATATATATATATATATATATATATATATATATATATATTATATATATATATATATATATATATATACATACACACATATATATCTTATACTGCTGAGTTAGGTGAGCATGATGATGTCATACTCACCTAATGTCAAATAGCCTGCTGCCGGGGGCTTCAGTACATACATCGACTGACAAATAGCCTGACTCGCCGTGGAGTGCTGCTACATCGACTGAGGGTTTGGTATGGGTCAGCAACATTTTCATTCATTATTCTTCGTTTTCCCTCATCGTTTTCTAAAAATGCTCACTTAATTTAGGCTAGCAAAAAAAGTGAGCAATTGTGCATATAAATATGCTATAGTAGATATATATATATATATATATATATATATATATATATATATATATATATATATATATATATATATATATATATATATATATATATATATATACACACACATACATATATATATATATAATATATATATATATATATATATACACACACATACATACATATATATAAAATATATATATATATATATATATATGCATATATATATATATATATATAGTATAATAATGTATATACTTTTTAAATTTAAAAATAGAAATATTATTTGGTTACCATAAAAATGCGGTGAAATTTGGTTTATTTCACCGCATATATATATATATATATATATATATAAATATATATATATATATATATATATATATATATATATATATATATATATATATGTATATATATATATATTTAAATGTATATACAAATGTGGGCTTTCTAATCAAGCCTATTTGGCAAAATCCCATATATCCGCATATATGGGCCTTTTTGAAAAAATCCCACATGTGCTTTTTGGAGCCAGCACGCCCCTGATATTGTTAACAACCCACAGTCAATGATTACTAAATATTATTTTGCTCATGTATCAAAAGATTTTGCTTTCTTACCATTTATAACATTTTACAACAACATAAATTTTAAAATATTTAATAATATTGTTATAATATGTTCAAATTTACAACTACACTTTCACTAGCTTTGTCAGGTAGCAATGACAATACTAGAAAACTTTTTTTTTTTTGCATTTTAATAAAATACTTTTTTAAAAGAATATACTATATAATTATGATTAAAAAATAGAACTGATCATTTTAATACTTACCACATGAAGTGGGTAGGCTGCAGCGAAAACTCCTTCAGCAACTAATCTTTCAATACCTTAAAATATTTCACAGCAAAAAAATTAGCTTAAAAAAATTACCAAAAAAATCATAATTAAAAAACAAAAAGCTATTTAACAAAATAAAACTTTACTTTTTTAAAAAAAGATCATTTTTTATTTACTTTTTTAGTCAATCTCCTACAGATACATAAGTTGTATTTATAAGGCATAAACAAGACATAATATTCTTTAACAGTATATATAATCTTTTAACAATAAATATACTTTAAACAAATAATTAAAGATAGAAAAAACATTATGAACCAATTTCTCCTTTTTGTCTACGACCATATGGTGCTCTCTCGAGTATTTCATAGCAAATACGAGTTCTTTCAGTATCTGTAAAGTAAGTGCTTGGGTTTTCACTTCCCAGAAACCTGTTTTAAATTTCAGAGTCAGTAGAGTTAAAAAAGTAAATAGAAAAAAAAATCATAACTGAGTAAAAAAATAGCTTACAAATGAAATTTATCAGCTTGAAAAGTAGCTGTAAAATAGTCAGGAGGACTCATAGGAACTTTTTCATAAAATGGATTTGGCAAACGAAACTTTGCAAGCATGCGTTCAGACCAATTAATTTTTTCTGTTTGACGTAGCTAAAGAAAAACTCATAACATACAAAACCGTAAAAGAAAGATACAAATAATGTATAAATATATATAGACCATAACATAAAGTTTAAAATCAAAACTCACAGCCAATGGAGCTTTAAATGATAATTCTTCTGCATAATATTTCAAAACTTCAAAAGGACAATGACATTTAATAAAGTGCAAAATGTTTTCTTTGTCATTACATCTTTCCTATATATAAACAAAAAAAAAGATTTTTCAAAACTATACTATGTTAGGCATAGTGTGCTAACTTGACCACCAGATTTTATATTCACCAACTCTGGATTTTTTTGTTTCTTAAAAAGATACCTACCAAATATTTGTAAAAAAAATTCACATATATCAAGAGGGAACCAGAAAAATTGCTTTTTGTGCACCCAGACCACGAAAACGGTAGGATAATTGTGTGCTGGAACTTTTTTTAAAACGTTTTTTTTTTTGTTATCTGATTGAATATATTAATCAATCAATCATCAACCATATATAGTCTGAAAATAAATTTTCACGACTATTCACAAATAGTATTGTAATAATAATCTCATATGTGATTAATAAGAGTAATAATGATAATGATATTATTAGTAGTAATAATACTAATTACAACAATAATAATAAATAATAATAAAAACAAAATTTTAACAATAAGAATACCTTCCATACAACAATCGTTTATACATACAAAGTTACAGTTACAAACAGTAATAAACTGAAAAAACGTAACAACTAAAAACATAAAAATAACATAAAAATGTTTAAAAAAATATTAAGATTTAACCAAATACATTAATCATAGTTCTTATAATATAATAACCAAATACATTAATCATAGTTCTTATAAAATAATAACCAAATACATTAATCATAGTTCTTATAATATAATAACCAAATACATTAAGCATAGTTCTTATAATATAATAACCAAAATATATTGCAAATATTATGACCAAATAAATAAATAAAATAAAAACAGAAAGACACAAAAAAAATCAAAACAAAACAAATGCTACAACAAAAATTACAAACCAAAACAAAAAAATTATGATAAGTACTTTTAGCAAAAAAAAAAACAGAATATAGGGCCAAGGATTGAACCTTGAGGAACACCTGAGGAATAAGAAGAAGAAGAAGAGTGCTGTCCATCAAGGACGACTTTTATACTACGATTGGAAAGGAAGGATTCAATAATCTTAAAGATGTTTCCAGATACAGCGTAAGAAGAGAGCTTATGGAGAAGACCAGAATGCCAAACTTTATCAAACGCTTTAGAAATGTCAAGAGGAATGGCCTTAACCTCTACACCTTTATCTAACGCACGATAAAACCTATCGGTTATTACTGTTAGCAAATCAGCTGTAGAACGAGAAGATCGAAATCCATATTAATGATCAGAAAAAAAGTTATTAGATTCAAGATGAGAGATTAAGTGTTTGTTAATAAAAGATTTAAAAACCTTGCTTATGATAGGAAGAACAATAATGCGACGGTAGTTTGAAAAATCAGATCGCTCTCCAGAATTTATAAAAATAGGGATAACAGATGCTGCTTTCAAGCAGGCTGGAAAATAAGACTCTGATAAGCAATTGTTGAATAGTGTTGAAAAGATAGACGACAGCTCAGGAGAACAATTCTGCAAGACTATAACAGGTATGTTGACGGAGCCACAAACTGTAGAAGAGTCTAAGCAGGAAATCACTTTAGATACAGAAGCTGGAGTGATACAGATGTCGAGCAATGAATCAACCTGTTTGACAGCTATATCAGGTAGAACGCAACTAGTGGAATCAAGAGATGATAATTATGAAAAGTTCTTAGCAAACAATTCAGCTTTTTCTTTAGGTGAGGTGACAAAGTCTGAACTACACAAAAGAGGTGAAATTACAGACTTGCCCTTATTATTGATACTATTAAAGATTCTCCAGAAGTCACGATAGCCTAATTTTTGCGATGAAATACAAAATTTCATGATCTGAGAATAGCAGGCTTTGGCATTAGACAAAACCTTTTTACAATTGTTCCTAGCAGTAATAAACAGACGCCTGTTTTTTGGAGAATGGTTTTGCTGATAAGTAATGGTTTCGATTGGCAATTGCAGCAGCACAATGTGAGGAAAACCATGGAGAAGAGTGAGGCTTGAAATGGATTCGTCGAGAGGGAATAAAGGATTCCATGCCAGCCTGAATCCATGAAGTTATGTAAGAAGCACATTTGTCAACAGGAAGACAAAAGATTTCTACCCAAGGGTGATCACAAAGAAAATCACGGAAAGAGTCAGCTTTAAGGTAGTTGTAAGATGTATAATGATAGGGGGATTCTGATGATAAAGAAGAATGAGATAATAGTTTTAGAGAGACAAAACCATGATCGGAAGCACCTAAGGGTGAATCTAGAGAAACTGAGCACTGACTAGGATCAGAAACAAGACATAAGTCAAGTAGAGAAGGTAAATGATTCCGGTTGTCTGGAAAGTGAGTTGGAAAGTTGACTATTTGAGTTAGGGATTGAGAAAGGCAAAAAGTGTGGGCTTTAATGCCTGCAGAGTCACTGACATTAGAGCCAAGCCATTCAGTATGATGAACATTAAAGTCACCGACAACAACAATATTGGCTGATGGATAAAGAGAGAGGGCTTGGTCAATATGATTAGAAATAACATCAAGAAGAGTGCAGTCTTGGGATGAGGGAGAGTGATATAGAACAAAGAGAAAGGTGATGAGTAAAGTGGTGCTAAACGAAAGCACATAAAAGAGTAGTTTGTGCATTCAAACCTAGTTTCCTGACAAATGGGTGAATTCTTACGAATGTAAATGCTCAGACCAAGCATGTGATTATTGGAGTCTTTACGAATTAAAGGGAGATAACCATCAACACTAAGATCACAAGATGAGACAGCTGAACTCAAATTAGTCTCACTAAGAGCAAGTAGGTCTGGTGAACTTTGCAAGAGATAAGACTCAACAGAAGAAAAGTTACTTTGAAGACCACGAATGTTAGTGAATGATTGGTTTAGCGAACTTGGTGATGACTGTGGTTTTTTGTGTTTTATAGTTTTTGTTACTTTATTTATTTTTAAATTTGTTAAAAAACTTGACTCAAAACATAGATAGTACTCAGTACACTGTTTAATAGCCCAAGCAATTGCCTCGTTACTATTACTAAATTCTAAGCCGTAACAAAGGGCTCCGATGTGGCCTTGGCAATGCACATCAAAAGTACAAACAGGGACACCATCCATGCGCAACATGCACTGTTAGTACTTTGATATTTTTCAGCTGTTGATGGAATCAGCCTCTCTGAGAGCTACCACAGAGTTCAGGAAACCTGACTACCAGACAGCCTCAAAACCATAAAACAGAGTTTTAGAGCTGTACCCTCATTAGGAGATAATAGAATGAGTTGCCTAGTCATAAAAACAGAGATACAAGCAAAACACATGCATCGAGTCAAGAAGATCCAGCATTTAACATCCTAAACTGGAAACAATGTAAAGCAAATTCAACACCTGAATCAAATAAAAATACTCTTATTTTAGAAGAAGCATTTTCAATTTTAATAAATAAATTCACTTTTTCGCTTTTGTTGGAATATTTAAATTTGAGTTGTTTAAAATATATTTAATAAAGGAATAAATTTTTTAATAAAATAGTATTAACTTACGAAACTTTAATTTATGATAAGGAATATTTTCATTTGTGCGGAAAAAAGGAAAAAGTTGAAAATCTAGTTAATCATATATTAACTAGAGGCGACAAGGACTTTAAGTGTGCAGAAAAATGCTAGTTCATATTTTAAAACTTAAAATGAAAAAGGAAAATATTCTTAGAAGACAGAGAATGATGATTTCAATAAGTGAAAACAAACTTACAGCTCAAATTGGTGTATCAGATAAAAAAAACTCTTTGCAGAACCATAGCATCTGTATCCCATGAAATGCAATTACATGTTGCAACATGTTGAAATTATGCAGTTACAAGTTGCAATATGTTGAAATTATGCAGTTACAAGTTGGAATATGTTGAAATTATGCAGTTACAAGTTGCAATAAATCTGAGTGATAATGGACCTAAATTATTTTGCTTCAAGCTGAGAGACATAAGACAAAGCAGTTTTGAGAACAATATTTGGAAGACTCAAAGAACTTCAAGAAAATCTGGAGATGTGTTATGTTCTACAAATTTTGTTTGAGAAATCAGATAGTTGTTTAGTTAAGCAATATATTGTTATTGTTAGTTGAGCGAGATATTGTTATAACACATCTAATTTTGTTAACTTGATAATTAGTAAAAAAGGACTTGATCTTTATAAGACTTTAATGCAATTGTCAATGGATTCTGGAGCTTTATGAAGATATGTGTTAATGTCTTTTATATTGATAAAAAAATATATATACCTGTACTTTTAAAAATTAGTTATCTTGAGATATATATATATCTTTATATTGTAGTCGCAAGAGCTTTTTAATGTAAAAAAAGTCTCTTTCGACTTCAATTTTGCTACCTCAACAATTAAGCTACATTTTATTGTTGTCGAAATGTTAAAGCAATTAAATTAATGGGGAAGTACATTAAATTTTATTGTTTTTTAAAAAAACCACAATAATAATGACAAGAAAGTTTTTTTTAATTAGTGGTGTTTTTGTTTTATTAAAATGTATTTTTAAAACATGCACAGAGTGTTGCTACATCGACTTTCTTATAGCCTGCTGCTACAAGGGAGTGTTGCTACATCAACTATCTTATAGCCTGACTAGCAACGGAGTGTTGCTACATCAACTATCATATTGCCTGACTCACAACGGAGTGCTGCTACATCGACTGACAAATAGCCTGACTCACAAGGGAATGCTGCTACATCTACTGAGGGTTTGGTTTGGGTAGACAGTCTATCATTTAAGAAAAAATTATTTAAGTTTTTTTAAAACTTTTTCTGGTCTGGTTTATTAACGCGCTCTTTAAAACTTCAGTTTATGGGGAAAACTTTCTGACTACCATGCAAGACTATATATATATATATATATATATATATATATATATATATATATATATATATATATATATATATATATATATATATATATATATATATATATATATATATATATATATATATATATATATATACAAGACTATATATAATATATATATATATATATATATATATATATATATATATATATATATATATATATATATATATATATATATATATATATATATATATATATATATATATATAAACCCTAAGCCTGACCTTTATTTAACCTCCCCAAGGCCGAAAAGGCCACTACAGACAAGGAGGCTACTTAATTGTGGTTATAACCCTCTCTCAACTCTATAACTCCGAAACACGAACCTTGATAAACAAAGCCGCTGCACGGAGAAACAAGTTGAGCATGGTACTACTGGGGACGTGGCGGGGATTGAACTTGGAACCTCTCACTTATGAAGTGAGCGCTCTACCACTACCGCATTACTGCAAATCAGATAAAAAATTCTTACAAATTTTTCGGTTTTCAATATGTTTTTCAAACGAAATTTTGCTTTTTACTGAAATTATAAAAAGTGCCAAAACTGAGTTTTCCGTATCGTTTCAAATTGAAATTTCTGCCGAGACTGATTCCAAAACAGAATTTTGGTCGATCACTAGACCCAACATACTTTTGGAAAAAGTTTACATAACTTTTTTTCGATACTTATTTTTTATTGCAAAATAATGAAATTATAAGTTACATCACTATAAATAATGGTTGATTAAACAACAATTAACTTATTTTGCAGTCAATTTAACATATGATTTCTAGGAGAGATAAGAAAAAAAAGATGAAGATGAAGACTTCATGTACAAACCTAAATCTGTTTATATTGCAATCTTAAATCTGCTTATGTTGCTATTTAAAGATATAATCAAAAGACAAAAATAGTCAAGTTTCAAACATACATTAAGTGCTGATAACTTGAAAATAGGGTTGCATCTTGGGAAAAATAAATTCACAAAAACAAGATTGTTGGAACAATCATTGTAAGTGAAACTTCATGAAAAGAAGGCAGCCACAGGAAGAAAATGAATGGATGAGTTACTTTTAGAGACAAAGAGTGGATTTGAACCCTAATTTTCAAAAATGAGTTATAACCACTTGCCACTAGTTTACTATGCCAACAAAAAAATAAAATAAAAACAATAATTATTATATTTCCAGACTGAAAATGAAAATTGATACATACAGTATTTCATAACATTTAATATAAAGTTTTATTATTAACATACTTCCTCCATTTCAACACTACTCCTTTTTAAATTGCTAAGAAATCTTTTACGAAACCCAACCAGTCTTGTATCAGCCATTTGATTCTTTTCCTCAACATATACCAAAACAAAATCTGTATTAAAAAAAACATAAACAAATAAATAAGGATAAAAACAACACAAAAAATCTACAAAATGATAAAATAAAAAACAAAACTTTTTATAAAATACTGATAAATAAATTCTATACTAAAAATAGAAATATCAAACTCCTGAACTTTATATCTGGTTTCCTAGTCTGAATTTCCAATATATTATGGTAAACTTTTGATATTAAATGTGAAGTGTTAAAACTGTATTATAAACAAAGTTTAAAGATTACCTATTTTTCTTTTACCATCTCGAAAATAAGTCCCTCTTTCTCCACTCATGTCTTCATCATAGATTTCCTAAATGTTAAATCACAGATACTTTTACCACATTTTAGAATTTTATAAAAATAAAAATATAATAAAAAAGTCTATTTATACTTTCAATTTAAATGTTAAATCATAAACTATACAGATAGATGAACTATTCAAAACAAAAATTTGATTAACTTAGATGAAGAAAAACTTGAACTCTTCAAACTTCATAAATGTTAATCTTTTCAATTTTCATAAAAAGTCAAGCCACTTTTGAGACACTGTTTATCTGACTTTTATACATACATACATATATATATATATATATATATATATATATATATATATATATATATATATATATATATATATATATATATATATATTTGAAATATTTATAAGATTGTTAACTGTTTAAATGACTTTCAAATATATATATATATACACGCACAATTTTTGTTTACTGTTTAAATGACTTTTAATTTAAGCGTAACTTTTATTAGAATGTGATTGAAAGAATTAAATTTGACAATTATAATAAAACTTTATACATTTTTTTTAATTATTATTATTATTATTTTTTTAATTTTAAAACTCAATTTAATGTTTATGTTTACAGAATCATTTAGTTTGGACATATTACCATGATGCTATCAATTTTTTTATTAGAAATGACATTTATAAAAGTATTGAAACAACTTTTTATAATAATAAAAAAAATTAATATAAATAATGAAAACCTTGTAATCATTTCCATTAGATGCATCATATGCACCAAGTTCCTAAAAAAATCATAAAATATATGAAAAAATATTGATATGTATTGGATTCAAATATCAATGACCTTTTTATAGCGCAAGCCATTAAGTTATTGATCTTAAAAACGCTTTTTACAGCGCAAGCCATAAAGTTATTCAAGATGATAAATGTTTCCAAATGTAATATTAATAACAATAATATTTTTAAAAGGTAATAGATATTTGTGCACAAATCCTTATCATGTATTGATAAAACTGATTTAAACTTTAAAAAAATGAAATTACAGTTTCATAAATAAGACAGTACATGTCAATTCTTCTATACCAAAGATTACTTTAGAATCTCATATATGAAATATACTTCGCGGTACTTTGGATTGTTCTTACTGTTCAAAAGCAATGGTATCAAGTGGTCTCAAGCAATGGTATGAAGTAGTATCAAGTGGTCTCAAGCAATGGTATAAAGTATCAAGTGGTTATTATAATATAACAAGTTCATTCATAACCAAACATTAACTTTAATTTTTTGTATTTTAATTCATGTACTTAATATATTGCATACTCAATACATCACTAAAGAAATATCTTGTTTTATTCAAAATTAGTATAATTATCTGACCAAAGATGATCAAAAGATGATAATTACAAAACTAGTATAATTATAAAGACCAAAGATAAGTATATACAAGTTACAAAATGCGCAAAATATTTCTATTAAGTTACTTTTCCTACAGAAAATATTTCAATCAAGTTACTTTTCCTATGGAAAATATTTCTATCAAGTTACTTTTCCTATGGAAAATATTTTTATTAAGTTACTTTTCCTATGGAAAATATTTCTATCAAGTTACTTTTCTTATGGAAAGGTCAACTTTCTAGGAAGCAGTTAATTTGTAGCAAAAGTGTTAAGCAACACTTTCACTATGCAATTAAGAACCAGTATGGTATTCTATTTTACATACAGGATCTGAGTTAAACAGTAAAATTAATTTAAATTATCATTAGCATAACGATAATAAATTAATAACATGTGAACTACTGACACAATTTTCACACATTTTTTAGTTTTATAACTTTTTTGTCAAACACTTTGCTCTTTCATCCTTGCTTATTATTAACTTGAGACTGCTTGCAGTTTTATAAAGAGTGAAAAAGTTGTTATATTTATTATGTTGGATTACTTGTCCAGAGGTAAAAACTATATATTGATAACTAGTATTCTGCCTTTAAGCTTCCTAATTGTTAAGATCAACAGATACCATAAGATTACTTTGCCAGGACAAAAAATGCTTCCTAAATGTTACTGTTGCATTCAACCTTTTTTTCATCTTGTTGAGATGCAAAAAGCATCTTAAAAAAGATATTATTCTTTGGCAGAACTGCTTATAGGATAAAATAGTTCACAATTAAGTGATCAATCTTGTCGCTGCATTTAAAAACACTTTTTATAGCTTTATATATTAGTATTAATTTTAACAATTTAGATTTAGGCATTAAAGTTGTTTTTACCTGCAATTTAAAACTGATCTGTGCTTACTCATAAAGAAAACAAGTCCAAAACAAAACCAATTAAAATTAGAATTATGAAATATTATTTTGAATTTCAGATTTTTTGTTTTATTAAAAGATTAACATACCGGAAAATCCAGGATAAAAACTTTTGGAAATAAACTTTAATTGAGACTTTTAGTAAAAAATATGGGACTTATAACAGCTGTAATGAAAAAATAGAGGGATATTAAAATAAAAATTTAAAAAATGATTTACATTATGACATAAATAAAAGAACAAAAAAAACTGTTTTAACTAAAAATATAATTATTATACTACCATTAAAAGCAGAAATTAATAGTTGCTAAGAGGGCACAAAGAGTATATAATCAGAGCTGGATTAACTAAAAGGTCAGGAAAAGATTAACAAAAAGCCATTACCTTGATCAGATGCCCCCAAAAATTAGACTTTTAGAATTTTAAAATCTTATTTGTTAAATATAATTAATATTATTGCCAATAATTTGTATAATTATTCTACTTCTTTAATGTATATATATGTAATACAAAATATTTCAAATAATAAGCTTACTAATTACATAGTTATGACATCAAAAAACTCATATGGAAGACGCAATACAGACAAAACATTTTTATTCTAGCTAGGATCAATATTTGTATAAGATCTCAAAAAGCCTAAAAAAACTCAATACAAGTAAAAAACTCTTACTAAATACTTTAAAGAAGGAAAAATAAATTTTTAATAATAATAACAGTAAAATAGACTAAAATAAAAGACAACTCCAAAGCATTTAATAATAAAAAAAATCAACTTAAACTATTTTCTTTTTTTCTTTTTTTTTTTTTTTAAAAAAAAAAAAAACAACCATTAAAATAATTGCTTTAACTTGTTTTCAATTAATTCAATCCCTTGTTCATTTTCACAACTCTTTTATTTAATCTATACATTTTCTTAACATTTACTCAGCAAGTCACATACACTCCAACTTCTTATTTTTCATCATCACCATAGTTATTTTTGCTATCTCGACTTTTACATGGAACATTCAGTGTTTGTTGTAATTTGCATTTCGAGTATTTTGGTTTTTTGTTCTACAAAATTTGTCTGTTATTTCATTATAATATTAAATACATATGGTTGAGTGTAGGAACTAATTTTAAAAATAACAATGATCAAAGATATAATTAATTTTAATGCAGAAGCAATAAAAAATTAAACAATCTTTTTTCAAAAAATAATAAATTGGTTACCAAAAGAAGTAAAAAACTAGATGAAAAATTAAAAACACCAGCTCTTTATAGTGATAATATTTGGAGAAATAAAAAAGAGAAGCAACCATACAAGGACCATACAACCATACAAGTTTAAAATTATAATAGATTTGACAATAAAACTTGAATAGTGGCTTTAAACATTCTTAAAACAAGATGCTATAGCGAGATATTTTTTTCAACTGTACCAAATAAGAACCAAATGTTTTTATACAAATCTAATTTTTCAAAAACATAATAATATTTTTTTAACATAACAAACCTTCAAAACTAGTTCTTAAGAATAACATTATTATTCTTAAGAAAAAGGTTCGAAGATTTGTTATGTTCTTTGCATGCTTCATAAAACTTTTCCAGATATACAACATATTTGTCAGCATTTCATTTGCACAAGTATCTTTAGACAAGCTATTTTAGTTGGTGAATGAACCTATGTTTTCATTCATTATTAAATCTTTTGTTTAGTTTTCAAGTTTATGGCCACTGAGTTTGAAGTTTTTTTATTGTTTTATTTATTTATTTATCTTACTGTTATTTATAGTTTTTACCTTTTATAATTCAAAGAAAATTTTTTCAGTCTTTTTAACATATTTTTTGAGATTTTAATGGAATGACATGATTACAATCCAATCATTAAATTATATAATTTACTGTCATCATAAAATAAACCAAATTTATTACCTACTATTACCTATTTTTGCTTTTATTAATATAAATTGAGTTATAAAAAGCGTATTTTTTTCATTTTGATTAAACGATGGCATAAAAAACTTACCAAATAGTCTGACTGAGTAAGAGGCAACTTATCAAAAGACATTTCTTTAATAAATTTTAAGGCTTGATGCTTGATGAAGAAGCATAATAAACAATATAAACAAAGTCGTCACAGCTCCAGACAATTTAAAATTTTATGATTCTTTATCGATCTTCATACTTTGAATTTTATAAAATATTTTTTTCCATAGCCTAAAATTTAACAAATTTTTGTAAACAAAAAAAACAAAATACGTTCGTTGTTCTAATTTCATTAAAATTGCATAATTCGACTAATCAATATAAGCCGAAAATTGCTTGTCAAATAATCACAAATGCAAATAACTTTGCACTGATTTTTAAAGATACTATTACTGCTATAGGGCCTTAAGCAACAGAGAGAAAAAAAGAGCTAGAGACATCTGCCGAGATTTTAACATCTGCGCATTAAAAACTTAAAGAATAATCTAGCGGCATGAAAAAAATATAACAGAACTGAGCTGAGTTTATATTATAGATTTAGTACCAGGGTCCTGATCAAATTTGTATTTGTTTATGAAGAACAAAAACTATATTTTAGGGAATTCTTTGCTTGGTGCGGATTTTTGTTCTAAACTTAATTATCTGAAAATTAAACAAAGATTATATTTTGTTCTATTATTAAACATTCTACTATGAAACATTTTGCATAAGGTATTTTAAAAACTCATCAGCGACGCTTTAATTATTATACATTCTACTATGAAACATTTTACATAAGGTATATATTGGTCCCTAGCAACGCTCATAGCAACTAAGTGACTAGACATTTTCTTGGCAATAACACAGTGGATGTTTATGTATACTCTTATCCACTTTGTTTTTACTTAAAATCTACAACTTTAAACCTCAAATTTAACGGCATGTTATTGAGGCATATTATAATATTACAACATGAATATTATAATATTACACCATTAATATTAATGATTAGTGATTTTTTATGTGGATTTTTTTAAGCACTGTGTTTATATTACAACTTTAATATTGGATCATCTGATAGAGAAAGGAAGTCTAGAGCAAAAAACGCAGGTTTAACATAAAAGCAGTATAAACTCTTAATAAAAGCCAAGATACAGGTAAAGATGAAACGACAACATTCACTTCTCAAAACAAATCAGCTTCTGCACAAAAAAAAAAAAAATTGAACACTCCAACAAGCATAGTACAATTACAAATGACTCTGAATGCTATATTTTTATGAATACTGTTATACTAAAAGAAATTATCGATTTTATTCGGACTTGACCATGTTGTCCATGCAAAAAACTACAAGCTAAGCATGACATTTCTGCAAAGAAAGGTTTTGCTCATATGATTTTTATTTGTTGCTGTAGATGTAAATGGACAAAAGTATTTTATCTCCAAAAACATAAAAGATCGAAATGAGGATGATATTGTTTACAAGCAGAGGAGAAAAATCTTTGATGCAACTTAAAGCAACAGTTGCATTTCAAAAAATTAGCGAAGGTTTTACCAGTATGATATTGTTTTTTAACGTTATAAACATGCCACCACCTATTAAAATTAAGTTCGTACAATAATATTACAGATAATTTGCAAGTGGCTTATGTAAAAGCTGCCAGAGTTTAATGTTAGTAGCATCACAAGAATGCATAGAAAACAATATTCAAATTGATTCATCCATGTTCGTGAAAGATGATACAATTAGAAATGTAACTGTTAGTGTAGATAGTACATGGCAGAAATGCGGATATATAGATGGTGTGGTGACTGTTATTTCTAATGGTAAATATATCGATACCTGATGCCCAAAAAATGTAAAGGATGCAAATTCTGGGAGTCAAAAAAAGAATCTCCAGCCTATAATATTTGACATGCTTCACATAATTGTAACATTAACCATAAAGGAAGTGCTGGAACAATAGAGTCAGCTGATGCGCTTACAATGTTTAAACGTTCTGTCAGTATAAACAGGTTATGATACACAAAATAACAGAAAAAGTTTTGATGATAAGAATAATAAAGAGGAGAGTGACTTTTAAGGAAAATGAGACTTTTGAATCATTTTTATATACTTTTTATATTGCATTTTTCTTTATTTACTGTTTTTACAAATTGTCTTTTTTAATTTTCTGTCGAAGATTGTGAATTATGTACTCAAATAATTGTTTTAAAATTTTGCACAAATACTCTTAAGATTATTGTTTACGTTCTGACATTAAAAAAAAAAAAAATTAATTTAATTATTACAAGAGTTATTTTTAGAAATTTGTTATTTACAATTAATTAAAAATCAAAAATGCCTTGAGGCATTTTGTGTAAAATATTTATGAAATGATATTTTTTTAAATGTCAGAACATGCTACTCATTTACAACATTTTGGGTAACAATTTTGAGCTTTGAGATATTTTTGTTCAAAAAGTATTCTTGACAGAAGATTACCCCCTTTTTTGCCCAAAAAGTGCTAATTATTCCAATAAATTTTTTTTTTTAATATAAAAAAAAAAATAAAAATATTTTTTTTGTTTATCTTTTTGAATACTACACCAGAAAAATATAATTTTAAATCAGGTTATTGAAATTTATTTTTTTATAGATGTACCACCTTAAATGATTTTATTGCATTAGTTTCAAACATCTTTTTCTGTAGATGAAAAGATTAGCCTGTTACCATACCTTTTGGGATTTTTAATCTTATTCTTTAATGTTGACCTGGGACTTTGTTTTTTTCAATGATGCTTGTCTTCGAGTTAATAAAGAATTTGAGTTAATTTTTTTGAACATGATGTATAAAAAAAAATTTTATACGTCATGTTCAAAAAAAATACATAACTTATTTGCTTCCATTTTTCTGGTTTATAATTTGTAGGTATATTTAAACTAAGAATGAAAAAATTTTCACCATACTTTTACATTGTTTTATATTGTCGCATTTATACAAACTTTTATACTAATTTTGTATTGCATTATAATTGAAAGGTTTATTTTTATTATCACACTTTTATTATAACACATTTTTATTATAACATATTTTTATTATAACAGTTTTAATCTAAATTAGACCATACTTGATAGACTTAACTGGTTTGGAATGTCCGCAAAACTTATTGTTTAATTTATTGACAATAAAGTCACGTAGAATCATATCATAAGAATGAATTCTATTTATGATTATGCGTAAATCGAGCATGACCGTGCGCTTAAAGTTTTTAACGTTTTATTTTGAATTTAATATTTGGATTTTTAGTGTGATAAGTAAAGTAAATAAATTTTTGAAACTAAAGTAATATTAAATTGTAAAGCATCTGTACTCAATGTTTAAACATTTTCTATGCTTGAAAAAGTAGTGGGGCGTTATAGCAAGAAGTTTAAAAGCGAAAAGTCAGGAAATCAAAAACCTGGAAATCAAGTATGGTGGCAGTTCAAGGCAGTTAAAAATTAATATTATATTACATATACAAAAATATATATATATATATATATATATATATATATATATATATATATATATATATATATATATATATATGTATATATATATATATAAATATATATATTTATTATACATATAATTTTATTAAAGATGTGCATGAAAACTCATTCAAATAAACAAAATGTACTGATGCAAACAAATATTTTTGGTGTGATGAGTAAAGTAAATAAATTTTTGAAACTAAAGTAATATTAAATTGTAAAGCATCTGTACTCAATGTTTAAACATTTTCTATGCTTGGAAAAGCAGTGAGACGTTATAGCAAGAAGTTTAAAAGCGAAAGCGAAAAGTCAGGAAATCAAAAACCTGGAAATCAAAAACATTTGTAATATTTAATTATATATATATATATATATATATATATATATATATATATATATATATATATATATATATATATATATATATATATATATATATATATAATAATATACAATATATATATATATATATATATATATATATATATATATATATATATATATATATATATATATATATATATATATATATATATATTGTATATTAAATATACAGAAAAATAGTAAAATAAGCAATACCACAAATGGATTTTTCAATTAAATTTAACAAAACTGGAAGAAAAACAGTGTATGCTATTTTTCAACAAAACATTTACAGAAAAGATTCTTTGCGTAATGGTAAAAAATGTTGGATTATGCACTTTAAATACCATTAGTTGCAAATCGAAAATTAACACAATGGTTTATACCTAATGTCTTCCTTTCATAATTACGAACCAGAAAGTGCAGGAAAGTGAAAAAAAAAAAAGAATTTTATGTAAAAATTAGAGAATTAGCTTTTGAAAGTTCTCCAACAAAACCTGCAAAAGTTAAGTTTCATAAATTTTCCTATAAGTTAATTTTGTGCCTCTTTGTTGTAAATGTATGTAATGAGTAGATAATTGGAAAAAACACAAAAAAACTAACAGTTTTATTTGTGTTAATAAGATATATACATATTAAAATGATGAGAGTTTTATTATATACAAAAATTATTTTATATATACAAGAAATGCAAAAAAAAATCAAGCAAACTTGAAAAAAAAAAATGAAAAAGATGTTTTGATAAATAATCTTGAAGAAAGGAATTAGAAAATAAATTATGCCAAGATAAATCAAAAGATCTAAATAACTGGAGTGAAGATGTAAAAAGAAAAGTTCAAGCAAATCAAGGCCAATATTATATTATAAAAACAGTTTTACATGAGGTAATGAGAAAAGAACGTAATAAAAGAAAAAATAATATTATATTTGGTGTTAAATTAGCAAATCATGATAATATCGACAAGAAAATATCTGATGAGGATATGGTAAAAGATATTTTTGACTTGATTATATCTAATTATGTTCAATCACAAGTATTGTTATGCAAATCATTACCCAAATATCATCTTTGTTGTAGATATACAAATTCGACTTCACTAAACAATAAATTGATTTGTTTTTATTAGAAATAGCAGCGTATAATCCTGACATATTTATTGTAACTGAAACTTGGTTTAACTTATCAAGTACTATAAATGTAAGTGGGTATAATGTTTTTCACTACAATCGGTCTAAAGCTAACTCAAATAAATGTCATGGTGGAGGTGTAGCTATCTACGTTAAAAATAAGTACATAGCATTGCTGACATTGCTTATATTCCTTATGACCTAGCATCTGAAGAAATGACAGTTGAACAAATCTGGTGTGTCGTGAAAACAGAAAATGAGAATATCTCAGGGATTATCTTTTTCAGGATATTTCTGGAATGCCTGATATTTTTCTCAACATTTTGTTTTTCTGGATATCAAAAATATTTTCTATACATACAAGTTTAGAAATATATTTTTGTAATATATTTGTTTTTTAAGTTTTTTCACTCATTACTCATATAAAACTTAAGAAAAGTTAAAAAAAAAAATTAAAAACTGCTCAGCTAAAATCAAAATTATTAGGAATATTAGGGAAAATATTTTTCGGATATTTTACCCTACTGATATTTTACTTCCGGATATTTTACCCTACTGATTTTCTGGATTTTTAAAATATGACCTGGATGATCTATGATATCTTAATTGGTAGCATATATTGTCCACCTGATGCTACAGTACCTACAAATCAATAAAATAATAAATAAGGCAAAAAAAAGTGTTAATTGCAACAAATATTCAGGTTTACTCTTAGATGGAGACTTTAATTACCCAAATTTAAAAAGGAATGATGAAAATATCAAAATAGTGTTAGAGAATGACAGGCAGGCACAAATATTTTTAGACAATTTAAATGACAACTTTTTGACTCAAAACATCTCAAAACCAACATTTAATTCAGGCATTCTGTCAGAAGGCAATACCTTAGATTTGAATTTAACGAATGCACCAGAGCGTATCCTGATCATAGGTTATAATTCACTGTTAAGCAGTTCAAATAATGCGCATCAGATATTGTATTGGAATTACGTCTTAAAAAAACCAACTACATTAAAACCTTCCTATGGAAAATCAAAGTTTAACTACTAAGCTCGAAATTAATAAGAAATGAACAATTCATTCCATTGTATATAATAGTCACATCTTTTTTTTAATAAAAATGTTGCTGAATGTTACAAAATCTTTGTTAATAAATATCAAGAGTTATCTGACATTTATATACCTAAAAAAGTCCATAAACATAGCTTTAAAACCATGGATTGATAAAATGAAGACTGAAATCAGACATAAAGCAACCTTATAGAACAAATTAATATCAAATAAATCCAATTCACCCAATTTTGTTCATCAATATAAAATACAAAGTAAACTGGTTAAAAACATGGTGAGGTTAAAACGTATTGAATACAAAAAAAGGATAAGTGAAACATCAAAAAAGATCCCAAATTATTTTACAGTTATGTTGATTCTAACAAAAAAGTTAAAGGAAGAATAGTTTCAATGTATGATGAATATGATAACACTGAACAAATAGAGAATCTATATCAAATATTTTAAACAATAGCTTCAATTCAGTTTTTGTTAATGAAAATAAGCATAACATACTAACTATGCTGCAGAAGACTAAAATTATTCTAGAAGTAGATATAAACAATAAAATAACTAGCCATACTATTGAAAATAAATTTAAATATTTAAATGTTTATTAAGTATATGTCTTAAGTAAATGTCATAGTACTCTCTGTGAACCATTAAATTTAATATATATAAAATCTTTGAGTGAGAAACAATTATCTGAACTCTAGAAATCAGCAAATGTAACCCCAATTTTTAAAAAAGGTAACATAAATAATGTATCTAAATACAGGCCAATCTCATTGACCTCTATCCCATGTATAGTTTTGGAAGCAATCATTCAAGATAAAATTATGGATTATCTAACAAAAAACAGCTTATTAAATGACAATCAGCATGGTTTCAGAAAAAAATAAAAACTACTCAACAAACCTATTGGAAACTCTTGATATCATAACAGATGCAATTGAAAATGGCCACACAGTTGATATGTTATATTTAGGCTTTGAAAAGGCTTTTGATAAAATACCACACTCTCGTTTGATCACTAAACTTAAATCTTATGGTATCGTGAGAGATTATCTAAGATGGATAGAAAACTTTTTAATTAACAGAAAACAGAGAGTGATCCTCAGTGACACTGTCTAAGATTGGCTACCAGTTATCAGTGGTGTACCACAGGAATCAGTTTTAGGACCACTGCTGTTTTTGATTTTCATTAATGATTTGCCAGATCAAGTCAAAAACCCTATCAAACTTTATGCTGATGATAGAAAAATAATAAACAAAAAATCAAATGATTCAATAAGCCTTCAAAGTGATATAAATAATATAATGGCAGGGTCATCTATCTGGCTCACAAAATTTAAATATAAAGAATGCAAAATTATGCATATTGGAAAAAAAAATATGAATGCTACATTTATAATGACTGATATTGATTGCAATTACAGTTATACATTATGTAACACAGAAGCTGAAAGTGATTTAGGTATAATGGTTCAATCGGATCTAAAATGGCACTCACAAGTTGATTCAGTAACTAGTCTAACCAACAGAATGTTAGACATCATAAAGAGAACATTTAAATATTTAGATGTAAACAGTAAAAAAGAATCCACATCTTGAGTTTGCAGTTCAACCATGGTCTCCATTCCTACAAATTGAGATGATCCAAAAAAGAGCAACCAAACTAGCACCTACAATTAAAAAATTACCTTATGAAGCTAGATTAAGTATTATGCAATTAACAACTCTAGAAGAACGTAGACTACCTGGAGATCTTATTCAACATTTTAAAATTCAACATGGCCATGATTAAATAAATTGGGTTCCAAACAATTATCAAAATACATCAAATGAAGGTCCCTATTTACGACAACACAAATTCAAAATGAAAAAACCTTTTTGCAAAAACACCTTCAGATATCACTTTTTCTAAAATCAAGTTGTAAATGCATGGAATAACTTACCATCTGAAATAGTAGAAGCTGCTTCAATAAATAACTACAGTGCAATATCTATTGTTATTGCATTTCACAACTGTTAACACCCATGGTTAATGCTATACCTTATTATTATTATTATTATTATATGTTACAAATGTACATATATATATATATATATATATATATATATATATATATATATATATATATATATATATATATATATATATATATATATATATATATATATATATATATATTAAAGTATATAAAAAGCATTCAAAAAATACAAAGATCATAGAAAACCTTCAAAACAAATCACTAAAATAGTTCATTTCTAACCTAATAGATTTGACTCTACAATCCTCTACAATCTTTGAAAAAATATGAAGCTAAAAGATCTGATAATCCTCTTGAATTGTGCATTTGTATGAGACAGCTGGCATAATAACTTATCAATAAGTTTTGATAGTAATTATTATATATTAACAAAAGTCATTGACACAATATTAGATCAGCATTGTGTAACAACCTTGTAATATCTTTAAAGCAAACACTCAAGTATGGCATTAATTCCATTAAATATCAATCCATAAATTTATGGAATTATCTTTCGTTTGAAATCAATTTAGCATTTTTAAAAAAGGAAGTTGAGCTCTCTTTATTAACAAAGTCAAGAAATTTATTGAAGATAAAAATAATAAGTAAAGTTTCTGCTGAGTTGTTTAACTCAATAATTATTTTCATGTCATTTTGACCTTATCCTTTATACCTGTGAATTCATATTTTTTTATCATATTCATATTACTTTATTGATATTGTTCTCTATATTTGCTGTTTTTTATTATTTTTAGTATTGTGTTTTCTTTTTGTTTGCTTTCGTTTTTGTTTCTTTTTTAATATAATATTATTATTTTTATTATAATATTACTTATATTATTATTATTTAATACCAATATAAGTAATATGTTGTATATTTTGTCAAATAATAGTTAATATTTTAGTTAATAATTTTAATAGTTTTTATAATTATTAAAGTTAATAATTTTAATAATAATAATCAGTTAAAAACTTTAGGTCGTCCCATTTTTGCCAATTACATAACTGTATGTGACTGATCCTAACTTAGCGTTTATTTTATAAAGTGAAATTAATTATTGATTGGCTATATATATATATATATATATATATATATATATATATATATATATATATATATATATATATATATATATATATATATATATATATATATATATATATATATATATATATATATATATATATATATATATAGATGTATATACATACATACATACATACATACATACATACATACATACATACATACATACATACATACATACATACATACATACATACATACATACATACATACATACATGCATACATACATACATTCATACATACATACATACGCATATACACATATATCATAAAGTTTAAACTGTATGTATATATTTTGTGTAAGTGCAATATTGTAGCAGCTAAATTTATGTAAAAATGATCAATAATAAAAATGTACTCCTTTTTTTAGATTTTTAAAGAAAACAGAAAAAAACAAAAAAAAAACATGATTAATGATTGTTGTGGCTCAAATTTAGATTTATGTCAAAAAATCGTAGCAAACTTTCCATGTTATTGAGCTGCAAAAGAAATAATCAAAAACGGAAAAAGTAAAGAAGTTCCACCTGATAGAAAAGTTTTAATTCTTGGACTAGAATAGGAATTAACTACCAATGGTAAAATTTGTGTATCAAAAAATAATGGATCTGATGATAGAATGGTTATATTTGGAACTGTAGTTTTTCTTGAACGCTTATGTCATTCAAAAATGTGGTATATGGATGGTACATTTGAATCATCACCAGATTTGTTAGCTCAACTTTATACGATTCATTGCTTTATGTCTGATAAGATGTTTTCTGTATTGTACTGTTTATTGCGTGATAAAAAAACAATAACTTATGTGAGGTTTTGTAACCTATTAAAACAAGTAATAATGGGTAAGTACTTGTTAATTTTATTTTAATATTGTGGTTTCATTTGCATTCATTGTTTTACATTTTAAGTTTTACATTTCATATATCACTATAAAGTTACTTTTTTTTTAATTTAGTAAAATACCTAATAATAGATTACTTATTTATAGAAAATGGAGAACGAAGTTTCATGCCTTTTAATTGATTTTGAATCAGTAGTTGTATCTGCATAATGCTTTTCATAAAGAAATGAATAAGGGGTATCTCTGGAATATCTCCTAACATTTGTGAATTTATTACAAGTTTAAAACTACATCAAGCAAGAAAATCAAAACAAACAAAAAACTATAAATATAAATAAATTCTAATCCTTAGACGGCCAGCAAGTGAAGGGTTGTTGTCTTTGATACAGTTATAAATATAGCTGGTTTTAAATTAAAATTACAAGGATAAATAATGCATATATTTTATCTAACATTTTACATAATTTTTGTCTGACATAAAATTATATAAATATTACAATATAAAATATAAATATAGATTTGATATTTAAAATATAATTAAGAATTGATAACAAAGTTTAATTACCTAATTGATAGGTAATTATTTGCTTAAGTAAAAAAAGTTAGATCTTTTAGTATTGAGTATTCAGTTATAATTTATGTTCATTTTATGTGTCAAATGTAAAACATATTATTAAATAAATAATTTTTTAGTGATTTCGAGATTATTAATTCAATGTTATATTATAGATTTTATTTTTTTCAAAAGTTATTGAGAGTTGGTACGCATTTCGATCCCAGAATCCTTAGTTTAATTTAATATATGCATGACAAAAGCAATGTTATATTATGGTTTTTTAGTGATTTAATATTTTGTTATAGATTTTTAGGGATTTCGTGCGTGTCTAAAGCGATATTTAGACATAACATTTCAAGCAAAAGATTGTTTCTTTTTTTAAATAAAAATTAACCATAAAATTAAAAAGATGCAAACTAATAATGTGCTTTTATTTTGATTAGGTATGGTGAGTTTACCCTTGATACTTTTAGAAATGATGATAAAGTTAAGTTAAACCCTTGATACTTTAAGAAATGATAAGAGAATTAAACCCTTGATACTTTTAGAAATGATAAGGGAGTTAAACCCTTGATACTTTTAGAAATGATAAGAGAATTAAACCCTTGATACTTTTAGAAATGATAAGGGAGTTAAACCCTTGATACTTTTAGAAATGATAAGAGAGTTAAACCCTTGATACTTTTAGAAATGATGAGAAAGTTAAACCTCAAGAATTAATGTATAAATTTTGAATCATAAACTAATAGCCAGGGCAAATATATCAACACTAAATATTTGAAAAAGAGAAATATAAAGGTTAGTTTTTAATATAGATTATTATCTAGTAGATAATAATTACTACAATTATTGATATTTATATAAATTAAGACAAACCTTTATCAGTTTATGTTTATCAAGTTGATTACCTTATGCTTATGATCTCTTATAAGAAATAATGTTCTTTGGGTAAAATTACTTTTAAACTAATATTAGCACTGACTATTTTAGACCTTAAGTCGATATTTTCTCTCGCTAATATTTGATATATATGCGGATTGGTTGGGTTTCATATTGTTCTTTGCTGATTTTTTACGTTTATATTGTTAATGTATGTTTCATGAAGTTCGATGTGTTTTTTTAAGGGTAGTTTTTGGACAAATGTTGATAGATTTAAGTGTTCTTAACTAAACCTGCTTTATTTTGCGTTTAAGACTGAAATTGCAACTTAACATTGCTTACACTCAGTAATGATACGCTTTTAATATCCAATATGTTTCTTTGAGCCTTTTAATGAGGTGTACTATCGTTATTGTTCTGTGTTTATAGAAATAAAAAACACTTAAATCTATCAACATATTACATTTAAGCCAATTCTTAGGTAAAGAGGTTAAAAAAACTATTTGATATTTTTAATTTATATATAATAGGGGTATTCAAAAAATAAAATTTTCAAAATGCGAATACACAAGAAGCCTTATTTTGTGCAACAAATATAAAAAAAATACGATTACAAAAAAAAATTCCAAAAATATTGAGATTTACGTTGTGTTAAATGTGATCATAATGGTCAAGTTTTTTTAATAAAGTTTTTTTTTTAGATTGTTGTGTATCCTAGTTTTTTCATAATTTTTGTTTAAATTAAAAAAAGGTTTTGCAAAAAATATTTATACACAAATACACAAAAAAAGATTTTTGCGCTAGTACGCCGAAAAATGTTGTTTGTTTTTTTTTTTGCATAAATTATGCAAAATCTTTTTTTAATTTAAACAACAGTAATGTAAAAAACAAGAATACACAAAAATTTGAACCACTAAGATCACATTAAAAAATTTTTTTTTTGCAAAATATTGAAATTTACCTTGCGCTCAAAGACAAATAATTTAGGAACAGTTTGGGGCATTTTTCGGGGTATTGTCAATATTTTTGAAATTTTTTTTTTTCAAATCATACTTTTTATATTTGCTCCAAATTTGGCTTCTTATGTGTATGCGTTTGAAATTTTTATTTTTTTGAACACCCCTAATATAGTATATATAATATATATTAATAAGGTTTAACTAATTATTCTTGCTGAGAGCGTGTCACAACTTATTATATTGTAATTAAGCTTTAAAAGTTATCAACTTTTAGTTTAAATTAGCTTTATACAAAGAAAAAAATAAGTGTTTACAATAAACAACCCTTTAAATACAAATGCACACCCCTGCAAAGACCTTTTGCTTGTAACAATTGTGCAAATATTCAGTCTTTAAACATATTGTTAACTCATGATGTATTAATAAATTTATATGCATACATTAACGCAAACAAACTCCCTAATATCTCTTGCATCATCTCATCTTTTGTTTGCATTAAAGAAACGCTTCGATCAAAGCTAAAAGCGTTTTTAACGCCTATAAAAAACGTGGATATTTTTTTTCCATTAAGCAAATCCAGGTTTCGCTCTTATTGTAAAATTTAGACCCAATTTATTTGAAATAGGCCTCCATCGTGAACGATTAACCAAAATTGAATGCAATAGATTAACTTAATTAAAGTGCTGAAAATTTTATTCTTGTTTCTTAGTCAAAATTAAATTTTTTTTGAATAGCTCTATGGATTCATATTTTTTCATTATGTTTTTTATTCTTTTTAAGGCATTCAACCAATTCAAAGTTACTGATAAAAAATTGATAGTTAAATATAATAAAAAGTTGAAAAGAACATTATGTAACTTCCAAAATAAAATGCTTAAAATATGTCGTGGGTAGTGGGCATTCCATCTAGCACAACACGTTGGGTTAACGTAGTAGATTAATACTTCCAATGTTGGCCCGACGTATTGTATTTGTTGGTATGCTATGCATGCTATCTTAATCTACTATCCTGTTATATATATTTTTTTGCAACAAACTTCTTTTTTTAGTAATAAAAAAATTACCAACTTATCCATAGAATAAACAAAATAAATGATATAAAATTCCCAAAGGTGTAAAGGTTAATTAAATTTATCTATAGCCAGCAGTAATTTATGTATTAAAAACTATTTATCGCTAATCTAGTTCAAAAACTACATTACAGTATACTGAACTTCAAACAAATAAGATAATAAATGCTATTACCAACCAATATGTAAAATAAATAATTAAATGTTTATGCTAAGTAATGCAAATGCATAAATAAAAACTTTACTCACAAATAATTCATCTAGTAGTTCATCTAACATAGCTCACAAATAATTTATAACAATTCTTAACAATAACGAATAATTTAGTTGAAACATAAAAGTAAATAAGTTTCTCACCATTCAATCATCACCATTGTAGCTTGTTAAACTAATTAACCAATCACACTTTATAAGCTTTTTTAAACTATACACTAACTATACAAAAAATAATGTTGGTTTCTAATAGAAGAAAATTAGAAGAGTTAGAAAAACAGAAGAGTTCTAAATAATAAAAACAATCATAATACAAAAAAAAAAGTAGTCAAAAATAATCATAGCAATTACCTCTAGTAAAATAAATTCTATAAAATTTTGAAACAAAAATGTTGCTGAAATTCAAGATTAACACCTGTGGAAAAAAAGTACGCTGAGCAGCTTTCTGTTCAAGGAACAAATTAAATCAAATCAAAGTAGACAAATACCTAAAAAGTGCAGCGACATATTACAAGTGTAACAGGGTAACAACATTGTTCAAGATAACAAATAACAGTCACAATATTAGCTTCAATACACTGATAGATAAAGGGAAGAAATGGGGGCTTCCCTCATCCTTTTCTCTGGAATCTAAAAATTCTCCCTCCTCCTCTACCAAAATCCGAAAGTCCTAAAATATCTTAAAAATTGAGGACCTTTTTTTTTTTGGAGACGCAAAATGTTGTACAAAATGCAAAAATATTTCAACATTCTTCCCCCTCCCCACTACCTAAAATTCCTAGATCCGTCACTGGCTCTATAAGTCTAAAATCAGGCCTTATTAACACAAAAAATAAAAGAACACCAGTATTAGCCCTTTTTGACACAAGCTTTAAGCATTTCACTATATTCTCTAAAGTGTATGTTTGAAAACAAGATTAAATTTAACACAAATAATAAAAATTCATTTTATCTTGCAGATAATCCGAGTAGCCGTAGTGCAGTAGTGCACTTGCCTTAGAAACAAAGGATACATAGTTCAAACCCCACCTCTGGGCAACTTTTGCGACATCTATTAGGAAGGAGGCGTAAATTTCCAATTAAATGCTTATCCGCGGTGCACAGTGGGCCGAGTGGTGGACAAAAGTAAAAAAAATACATCTTAAAAAATTACATTAATATATGAGCAGCCCATTTGCAAAACGCGCTCAAAAAAAAGTCCGAGCAAATTGATTTTGAGAAATTGAAGGAAAACTGACCTACACGTATTTTGCACTCAAAAAAAAATTTGTTGGTAAAAGTTACTTTAATGTAGTGATACAAATAAAGTATGCGCATAGGAAAAAATCCAAATCAATAGGGTCATGAAATAAACCTGCTTAAATTATTGGCTTAGCTTATTTTGATAATGTTAGATGGACTATTTAGAAAAAGGTTGCTTTACAAAAAACTATATATGTATATATAAATATAAGCTTTATTAAAATCATTCAAGATTTGTTTGTTTTAAAAAAGCATTCAAATGATTTTAAAGGAAACGCTTTAATTTTCATGAATTATTGAAAAAAGTAATAGTATATAATAATGGGCACAAACAAAACACTATGGTAAAAGTTGTAGTTTTTGTATTAAAAATGTTGATCAAAGAAAATGTTGTACAACGAAGTAAAACATGATTACAAGCAGCATCTTCTCCAAGACAATATAGTATCTTCCTCATCTTCTGAGTTTATAAAAAAGAAATAAACTATTAAATTCAATTAAACGACGGCCAAAATAAATCATTGTTTTAATCGCACCTGAATCAAGTTCACCTACTCCGTTGTTTTTGTTAATAGAAAATAAAAACTAATAAACGGGGGTTGGGGGTGATCTTAATAAGCTTGGATTGATGGTAAAAGTTTACAAAAATTATTCAAAGTCTTCTCCCGTGTATTACACACCTAAGAGTAAATATAAAAAAAAGTATGGGTCGCGTTAATTAAAAGATTATTATAACATATCATTGGTATAAATACTCAACTTTTACATATTACTATT